GCACCACCTAAAAAAAAGAAAAGAAAAAAGCAATGAATGCTAACTGTTGGTTTCACATGGGATTTAAACCCCATGGTCCTGGCTACTTTCAGCTGCTCCCTTATTCACAAGGGGTTACTTCAGTGGGCACCTGATAGCTCCACAATGTTCACTTTGGCAGATTTTTTATGCCAGATGCCTTTTGTGATGCAACTCCAAAAGGATTTGTGTCCCACTGTAAAATGTATAAGTAGAGAAAATTCTAACTACTAAGTTGGCATGATTCAATAGCATTCTGTTTTATCAGCTTTGTTATTGTTGGCTTCACTAAGATTAAGTTCTGGTGACCTTTATTTTCTTTTTCAGTTAATTATAATATGGGGTAACAAGAACATCAAGTTGTTGTATAGTCAACAACAACAGTAACAAATTGTGAAAAATGTAAAAATCTATTGGATCATGATGCTTTGATAGTTTGTGTTTTCTCGAATTTACATTTACAGTATAAATCAAAATCCTCCACTTAATCCAGTCCACATTTGTTTGGCTCGATTTCATTTGTATCTTAAATCTAACACTGCAGCTTTAAACTTTAACTTGGGGAGCATTTTCTTTAAATCTACCATAGATTACCAAGGTCCTGGATATATTTTTTCTCCAAAACCTACATGTAATTTACTACACGGTAAATGCTTACTTACAATTTTATCTGCAACAAAAATGACAGCTATATAAAAAAGTTATCATCTGATGGCTCACACTGTGGGGCCAAACAGGAGTCCACGCTGCCACACTGCTACACTAACACTATCAGAAATAGGTCTAGGTGTTACACCAGCGCCAGCGAGCAGGAAGTGCCTTACAGGGTCCAATCTTAGTGCCATCTCCCAAATGTTCCAATAACTAACAATTTTCACCACTTTGCTTTCCAGTCAGCTGCAAAATTATAGATTACAGATTTGCTCAGAGTGAAGAGAGGGAAGTGGATCACTGGAGGGGAGAAAGATTGAAGGAAGGAGGTGAAGTATAGGAGAGACACAGTCATGGATAGGGAGAGCTCAGAAACTGAAAACATCTCGAGCCATCAGTAGTTTGAAGATAAACTGAAATAGAGTATGGACCTCTGAATGACAGCAGGGAATGATGAGAAATGACATATGCTAAATGAGGCTTAAATGCCTCAGGTATCCCCTGAGAGACTTTTAATAATGCTCAGGCATTGTGACACTCGGCTGGCCCAAGCACATCCTTTCCATAATGAAGAGAATATGCTAATAGCTGACTCATCTGCTGGAGGAAAAATTAAGGAAAGCAAACAACACCTTTGGTGCCCTCTGTTTATTGAGACGATGGACAAGCGAGATGACAAAGTGAGAAAGTAGCGAGGCAGTTTGGAGGGAAGCAACTCTGCAGAAAACTAACAGTTGTCCCGTTCAAAATGAGGCCAAAGTTATCCATTTAGATGCGGCTAGCTTCATTTTTGCAGTTTCACTTTTGAAACATTTTTTTTTTGCAACACAACAACATTGAGAACAAAATTCTGGACTGAAAGCCAATAAAGTAGATGAACAGAGATAGGATTGGGTGCAATACCCGTTTCTAATTAAAACTGCTCTGCGTGAATGTTTTCAGTACAGCCAGGATGGCAGAGAAGTTAACCTAAATGCGCAGATCAATAGACTAAATAATAAATGCTTACACTGGCACAACTGTGAGAGCTCAAGTGAAAGACTTGCAGGACAGAAAGAACGTCTGATGCCAAGTCCACACTTAAACTCCAGGAGATAAAATAGATAAAATAAGGGGTCAAAGCATTGAGAGAACCTGCTAGGAGCAGCACACATAAGCTTTGCAGTAATCCCAAGGCACATGTACTTTTCATTTTTCTCCTGACACTTCAGCATGTGCATATAGATGAACAAGAGTATCTGCACCTCGGCAGGAGGACCCACACACAAATGTTTTGCCTGATGAGCAATATGTGCACGCACGTAGGGTAGAAGTAAAGATAGAATTGATATGGATCATATGCTAATATGGCTGAGAGGCTAAAAGTAAGATTGAGCACATTTCTAGCATGTTTCATTGCTATAGCAACAGCCTTTGTACTTGTGGAGGGAAGTGGGTGGCAGAAAAAAGAGCAAGAGTGAGAGTGAGAGGAGTGACAGAGAGAGAAAGAGAGAGACTTTGGCTTGCTTCTCTCTCTTGGCGAGGTTCTACCAATCCAGCTCTCTGCCAACCCAAGACCCTGGGGCTTTAGACAGCCAAGGTCACTGAAGAGGAAAAATGAACAACTCCTGAACGTGTTTCTGCATACTTCTAATCCAAGAGAGGCAATAAAGGGCAGTTCCAGCTCACACAGGCAGAGGGAGCCACTACATGTGCCTAATCATGCCCTACTAGACCCAGCTACACATGAGCAGAAGGATCATATTGTTTCAAAAATACCCTTGAAGGGTCACAATCAAAGACGCATAAACAAAACAGCCATTTAATCCTTACTGTCTTCATACAGAAGGCATTGTTGAAAGAATCCAAGCTTTACAGTGTGAACGCTAAACCAGCTACCCCGTCTTTACATTTTTACATCAGCTTTACATCACAGCCTCAATGACATTCCTTCATGACTATTGTCCCAGTAGTACTGCTCTGATGGGAATTACTATAGCATATATACAGCTTAGCACATAAATAAAGTGCAATATTAGTTCATATTAAATTATCATTTGCCTACAGCCAAGATTCAAACCCAAATCTGTGAAGGACAACCTTGAATGCCGAAAATCGGAGCGTCTAGGTCTGTTTGCGTTCAGAGTGAGAGAAGCCTTAGGACCCCCAGAGGTAGGAGGGTGAATACGAAATTAGCTATGTTTATTAAAAGTCCCCTTGTTTCATAGAACCACAATTTAGCAGTCAGTCTTCCACATAAGCTCACCCCCCACGCTACTCTCTTCACATGTCCTTTCAAAGACTTGTGAGACGGCTCTAAAGGCTTTGGTGCCTTGTGTAAAGCTGGCTGTTACGGCTGCTGAAATCAGCGATGGTTGCTATTTTTAGGATATGTGAAATCTATCTGTAGCACTCCAATCATGAAAAAATTCGCATGGGTGTGTGCCATTCACACACACACACACACACACACACACACACCATAGATAAGCACTTACACAACAGACATAACAAATATGAGGAATTGAGCCAATTTAGAGATAACAAGAGATAACAATAGATAGATAGACAGATAGATAGATATAGATATCTATATCTATATACACACACATATACACATATACACACATATACATATATATATATATA